CAGAGATTAGGATGCATTTAGATGTTTCGAAACAAAAAGTCACGATTGTAATAATGACGTTGAGACAAAATTAGATATCTGAGGATAAACGCTGGTGATCGTTGATCAAATCAAGGTCAAAGGTTTATTCCTCACAGCATGTTATTAAAAAATCTACTTGAACATGCCTGTGTTGCTATCGATAGTAAGCAGCAGCTCGAAGGTATTTACAAATACTGTAGCAAGGCTTTCGGCAAAGTAGACCAAGCTTTGTTGATTAATAAATCGTATGTTTTGACATTGATTCTAATACTTTGACTTGGCTACAAAGCCAGATGGGATTATATCAACATGGCTCACTGTCAAGTTCTCTATATTAATAATGGCATGCCTCTAATTGGACATGACCAGTTTTGTTGTTTTGCTAATGACTGTAATTTGGTCGGACAAAATATTGTCGACTGTCATTTTTAATATAGTTCAGTAAATCAACTTGTACAGTGGTCATCACATTAAAAAAGACATCAATCAAGTATGATCATCACGTCGGCAACTGCACACTTAATCCAATTGCCCCAAATGAAAAATGTAGATTCCATTATAAACGCAAAACTCAACTTTATTCACCATGCTGATTGAATAGTAGGTAGAGCCAATTTTGTCATTGATTGTATTATTAAGGTAGAATTTTAAGTCAATTGATAAGATAGCTACTCTCCGTTTACTTATAATAACTTACATCGATACATATTGTGATATTTCTTCGTACTCACCAACTTATATATGTATGTGTCCAGGGCTGTGAACTGTATTCCATCAAACACATTAAGAGTTGTAGTAATGGAGCAAAACACTCAAAAACAATTATACAAAATACATTTCTCACACTTCTCTTGAATATTGTTTTATTGTTATAACATAGTTGGACTAATTGAATAGCCGAGTTTGTGTTCTTTGGTTGGTGTCGTGTGCATAACAATGTCGATCTCGTAAAGCAGGAAGAATACACATAGTGACATAGGCACATATGTTACTACTATACAAGCTTCAATTTTTGGACCAAACATGGATAATAATTCCTACATACAGCAAGAAAGATTGTAATATGTAACTGTCCCACGAACGACTGGTTATGACATAGGTCAGCCTGTTTTTGTGAATATGTTTTCGGTAATTTGACAACTAAATAAGTCAAACCCGTCTATTTGCCAACCCAATTCTAGACCATTTATTGTAAAAGTGTTACAATACATCAATCTTATGCAAATGACAATTTGACGCGCTGACTCGACGTCCCCTTGTAAACCATTATGTTCAATAAAAAGAACAATTAACCCAGTCAAATCACATGAAAGCCTTGGAATCCGATATTGTAATATATTGTAGCGATATATTTTTAAAATAAACTTTTAGTCGAATAACAGCAACATTACACATAATATCTGATTAACATCTAGTTGTTCATCTATAAATTGGTTATTGTATTTCAAATTAGTAATTGTATAATAATGACCTTGGTTACTGAAATGTGATTAAATATTCTGGATAAGCCATTGCATCATTGAACACAACAAACATGTCAGGATTTTGCATATTATCCACTACGCTATCGTACTTGTCATTTTTTGTTCTTGCTGGTGGAACTATCATTTTTCCATTTCCTTGTGTATACTCTCCAGTGATGACAGCAGCCTGATACATATATTTATTTCCACCAGCCTCGGCAGCGGCGTAACTCGTTGAATAACCAGAATTTACAGCAAAGTAAGTTCCCTTTCCATACGCCGTAGCTGCAAATAAACGAATAGCTGCCGATGAGTTTTAATATTTGAATATTAAATTTGAATATCACACTCGGAAATGTTGTTATAGAAGTTCCAAAACAAGCAGGACGTCGTCGGCTTTTAGTATTTGTTCTTTTACGAAAATGAGCGAAATATTGCGATAGAAAACTATTTTGTTGTCGATAAACATCACATTCGTTACAAAGTGGCGAACGTTTGCAAGGTTGCTGAGTTGAGTGTTACAGGTTGCGCTCTGTAGTTTGGAATAAAGCCCAAATACGAAGAGATTTGACTTGATCCTAGTAGTCACGCCAAGGTTAGGAATCAAACTCGTAAATGGTACATGTGTATATAAGTCTCGCAATGAAGTAGTTTTATTGGCCGAGTAAAAATAACACCAAGGTAAACAAATTTCGTTCTATCTATTACCACGAAATAGTGTAGTTAAAGTTAAAATATTGGGAATACACATATATCACAATTGCTTATCTTATATATGTTGATACATATCTTACCATTTTTGCCGGCGAAGCTTCTATTGAAGCCCGCAGTGTTAATTTCCAGAATAGTGTCTGCGCTTGTGCCATGAAACAACTTTCGTTCAATTTGTGATCCTTTGGGGTTCTTCAGTTCAACAGATTGTTTCAGAACAGCATATGATCGATACAGTCTTGGGTTTTGAATACGTTCGATCTTTTGAAAGACAAATATACTTATTTATAACTTCAATGGTTCTAAAATTGTACAAATGCTTTTGATAAAAATAACAGTAAGCTTAATAATCGAACAAATACATGATGAGAAATACATTTTATGAATTGTCACGGATCTCAAAAAGCATTAAAAACAGTCACCCAGTAAAATACACTTACTTTAACAGTTTGTTTTAGTTTGTAATTTTGAAGTGATTTTTTGAAGTACGACTCCACAGTTTTAAATTCTGTTGATGTTCTGTCCACGTCCACGGCTATGAAGATGTCTTTATCGTTCATCCCAGCCCAATTGTGAGGTAGTGAGACCCCGGCTGTACGAAAGAAACACACAAAATAGTTTAATTCACTTATTTATATATATTGTTCACTCGTCAATCTCCTCTCCATTGGGGTCAATCCCTAGGATCGCACAATCAAATATTGAAACATTATTATTAATTTTGTTCACACTATTTTTTCATTGGAATTTGAAAGGAAATATAAAATTGATGTGAAATAAAGACTTTTTGGGGTTTTAGGGGTCGGGATTCTCGATATTAAGTGTATTTATTTAAGTGCATTCAGACTGACTACATCACAACATCTTTATCCAATATTCTGTTTGTGTTACTAACAATAATCGGGAAGCAATCCAAAATATGGAAAGGTTGTGGAATTGACTGCATCTCTCACATTCTTATGGTTTTACACTTCTTTCTGCCATACCTCAATTGAATAATATCAACCAAGCTCCCAACCAATCAGCAATAGTTTGATTATGTGATTTGTTATGCTGATAACATGTTTTGGATCTAGCACAACACTCTGCACGATGTTGACACATGTCGAATTTCGATACGATTACTTGGTTACCAAGTTGGTTACCCAGATCAGGATTATTCTGATCTTGAGACAATATAATCACCTGCTTTCAGTTGTCTTCTTACACTGACTGAAGAATTATCACTGATATCCACCTCACTCATGGTCTTGAAATCCAATCTGTATGTTCTACTACCATCTTGAAATTCGACAACATCTTTCGTGTCTAAATATGCACTCTCAATAATGCCTGTAATTATCTCATCGTATTCAACAAAATCACTGTTATTATCTTCATATAGCCACTTCACTGTTTTGGCCAGATGTTTTAAATTGTGTTCGTAACGTTCATCACGTTCTTCGCGTAGTTTTCTCTCTTTAATCTTATCTAGAATTGCTGTTGTCTCTTCTTGGACAGCTACTACATCTTGTAGAGAACCATATATTCGCAATTCAGTAAGAGCATCATCAATGACTCTTTCTATCTTAACCTGTATATAAATAAAAGGTTTTTGAGTTATTTCGTTTTATTCTGTGTGTAAAATGTTCCAATGAAGGACTGTTCAGAAATATAAATATGGTTATGGAGGTCACTTACTTGTAGACCTTCTGCATAGGTTTGTAAATGTAACATATCTTCTGATGTGAGGTCTTTAACGTTTGCATCTCGAATTGACTGCAATTGAACATATTTGTGTTAGCCTACACTATAGCACACACTAGATATGCAATCGTTCACCATATTATGACAGTTGTACTGTGGACACAGTTCCTAGCACAGTACTATGTATTATATATAATGTAAATATATGAGCTTGACACAAAAATCCCGATTTTGTAATCACTTGCAGATGGGAGTGTTCACCTTCTAATATCCAAATCAAAACAAAAACAATAATAAAATGACATTCAAATGTCAGTTAATGTGGACAAATACGGGTTTTGATTCTATTTTAAGAAAAACATTTCAATTTACAAATTGAGCAACTAAGTATTTATCATATCTTAGTATCGGAAATCAGTTATATTCAATGCATCTGAAACATGTAGATAATCAATCAATGCCTTTTCTCTGTATTCGCCTTGGAGTTGTTCTTCAATCTTTTTAATTGCATGATCAATAACATCCCCAGACTCAGCATAGATATCCAGTGTAATGTTATCCCACTTGGTGTCCTTGCCACTGTCCCCAGCACGTTCCGTCTTCGTGGGCAAGTATGTCTTTTTCCTGACGTGCGTCTTACCAGAACCAAACATATAACCGAATCCGCCTAGTCAATGTGAAAAGTCACAAATTAATCATGTATTACAAATTTAATTAATATTTTGTTGCATATAAAACACTTTAATTTATAAGAACTCTGCGTTTGTGTCCTATTTTTAATAGAAAATGGGGCACTGGTGTACCAAATGAGTCACCTCAAATACTACATCAGGTTGCATGTCCTTAGTGATACGTGATTATATTCTATATGTCATGCACATGTCAAGTGTATACTAGGGTTGTTTTTATCATGTGAATGACGTGTTACTGGCACAAACACAATAAAGTAGTACAAGAATATAATCTCAACTATATAATACTAAGTGGTATATACTCACTAATCATTCTTCTCAATGCGCCCCTTGTACTCGTTGGCCCCTTGTACGATTGTACAATTGAATTCATCACCTGCTGATATTCAGCCACCATTGCTTGTTGAAATATTGCGAGACGAATATAGTTCAATGACTGGGGATTATACTGCAATTGGAAATCTTGTACTGCCTCAAAAGTTGTTTTAGCTGCTTGTTTGGCACTTATACCAAGGCCACCTGAAAACAATATATTGTACATGTATGTAGATGTCACTCATCCTAATACACAGTATTTCCCCTGCATTACAATTTCTAAAATTACCAGACTGTGGACATTTGATTTCTAAATGAATCAAAACTACTTTATCACTCACCTGTTCCTATTGCAGGCATTGCAATCGATTTCAGACCATTCTGCTCAGCATACTGCAACATATTAATGATACTGGTTTTTAAATCTTTATATGGTACAACCATGTGAATAATCTTTCGGCATTGTAGCTTTCCTGCATTAGTGATTACAACAGTGTCATCTTGCTGTTCACCTGTACAAGTAATGACAGTTATAGAGATTGGTGATGAAATTTATACTAGATTTAATTTAGAAGAACTATGTCTGCTATGTCACTATGCAATATTAGCAACAGCTGTGACACCAACGAGGTTACTAACAAGAGAAGTATAATAATGATGTCAATATTACCTAACGTCTGACATTCGTCTTGTATTGATTTTCCGCCTGCAGCTAGAATAGCTTTGGATACAACACCTATCAATAAACAAACTAGTATTCATTGGGTATATATTACACGACAATGCGACAGTCACCAACATTTCAATATACAACTGAATCACATGATGTGTGACATAATTATATTAATTAAATGTTGTTTTGTCATTATTATTAATTCCGATAATGAAAGCGTTTTCAGCTAACCCCATGTCATGTTCATCTCGCTATTTGTGTTATTCACAATGGCATCTGTAGATTCTGAAGTAATATCTCCTTGTACCACATCAACGCGAATAGAACCAAACATATTGTCTTTAGATGGCGTGCCTTTAATATCTAAAGATATAAAAACATTAATAGATTAATTTGTCAGATAGATATATAACATATATACATACTTGCATCTAGGTGTATACACTTACCGGATGTAGCTTCCACCGTTTCTTTTGCTAGTTCTGGTGACGTCACTGCCATTTCAGCCATAACATCATGATACACAGACAGCATTTGAGCTTGGAAGATTACTAGTCTTATGCGTTTCATATTTTTTGGGTTCGTTTGTTTGAAATCTTTTATGGCTGAAAACGTTTTAGTTGCTCCATCTTTTGGAGAAAGTCCTAATCCACCTGAAAGGATAAATGAAAATGTTTGTTTCACTTTGAAATGTGAAAGATAAGATATATAGTCTTGAAGTGACAAGTGCTGAAAACATTCACTTGAGTGTGTGTGCAGTATTTATTTTTACCACATTTATCATGCAATATCAGTGACATAAAGCCATGTTATATTTTCCATACAACCCCTGATCGGCAATCTTGATTAGTCCTTATATGTCATTTGAGATTGTGACATCATCGACTGGTCATCTCCGAGACATACATGTATAAGTAAGTATACATGTATAAGTAAGTTTTCATTCATATTTGAGAAATTCGTTGTTTCTAATTCTCTAGCCTTACATAGGCAGAACACAAGATTTGTTTTTCCAATGGGATGCCACTACAGGGGCCGATTCACTGTTGAAACGCTTCAAGGCCGCTAATATAACTACCCCAATTAAAAGTATTTAAAATGTTGGCAATGCGCCTATAACAGTAAATACATTGATGAATCCAAAATTAAATTACTTGTTTAATCGCAAGCAAAAAACTGGCTACAAAGTATATGCAAATGACTAGGAAGCGCTAAGAAGCCTGGGACGCGCTCACGCAAATAATGACTCTGATATTAGTTGCTGTTTGTGAAACAGCTGGAAATACATACATGTGACCTGTGATATCAGATTTATTAAACTCGTGTCTTAATTTTATAATGTATTCATTGCCAAAGGCTTGAACATATAAAATCAATCAACTCGTTTAATCTGATATCATGGGTCACTCATTGGACAACCTCTCTATATGGTATATATCCAAAACGTAAATTAAACAAACACATAGTTTTATGAAGTGTTATGGCCCTTCTAATGTTACTGAGAGGATAGGCGTTGTTGTTTATTAGGCATATTATATTGACCTATAAGGGTTAGGATTATATATCTATAGTAATAAGGCTATTAGAGAATACCCCCAAATTAAGCACCCAGGCAGTACAATAAGGCTACGTTTTGGTCTGATGAAGTAACAATCTTCTACATTATTAGAAATCAACACAGTGGATATACCTGTTCCTATGGCGGGTATTGAGATTGATGTCAGTCCCTTTTGGTCGGCGAATACTAACATCTTCTTAATGCTGTGTTGTAAACTTGGATATGGTGTGACCATGTGAACAATCTTCTTACATTTCAGTTTGCCGGCATTCGTGATTACTACTGTATCCTCACTTTGTTTGCCTGCAATGTAAGATCAACACAATGTGAATATGTCAAATTTCTATAATAAATTGGAATATAACCTCGCAATAACTCATATGATTCGAACTTACCAAGTTGTTTACACTCATCTTGGATTGTCGTTCCAGCTGCTGCAAGAACCGCCTTAGATATTACACCTATTTATGATAGAAAGATGGGCACATTACATAAATATTATCTTAATGGGATCACAATTGTCAAAATATTTGATAATAATAAGCCTAATTTACTTGCCCCAGGAAAGGTCAAGGTCAACTGTCGTACTGTTAACAATAGCTTCAGTTGCCTCAGTTATAATATCTCCCTGTAATACATCTATGAATATAGGTCCAACTTTCATGTGCCACTCAGAAGTGCCTTTCTTCAGATCAGTAAACTCATTTCCTGTGTAATTAAATTCAATTTTATTGACCAATTATTATGGAAAACAATTAAGCTTTTGTACGTGTTGTTTTCTACGAATGTTGTAGTGAATCAAATCTGAATACAGTAGTCACCGATAGACTAGCTAAGTGAAGAGACCTTAATTTAATCATTTGAGCTGTGATTTTAAACACTGACCCATATTAGTAGATGTTGTTTCAGTAGCTAACGGTGACTCTACAATTTTTCGCCTATGTCGTGTCTTTGACGGTTCTTCTTCCTTCGTAGTGGTGATGTTGTTGCACTCTTGCTCGAATGCCTAAATAGAAAGAAATTCAGTACACTATAACACAATGCTACGTGTTTGACGCAATGCCATATTGATTAAGGGTCATAACTGAGACGAAAATAACTATACATTGAGAGGAAAATAAATTATACTTTTGTTTCTTTTTAGGTGATTATCACTGTGATGGTGCTTACTTTTATGGTGGGCTGATCTTTGTCATATACGACAAAGCTTATAGTGTTTAGCGAACTTGTTGAATATTTTGTACTAAACGTTTTGACTTCTTCATACATGATTTTCGCAGTGACATCACGTGGGAATTTGCGCCCTCCCGTGCCGATAGCAGGAAATGCTATAGACGTCATTCCTGACTGATGGGCTTTCATTAAACACTTCTGAAGTACGTTTCTTAGGAACTGTAATAAAAAATAAAATGGAATTATTTTTATATGAACAACTTTAGTTCCTGGAATTTGAACGTTCTCTCATAATACTACTGTGACGTTTTGGGACCACTTTATTGCATGCGTCAGAATACATACTTTTGTAATGGTGTTATATGACACCTGATCACCCGAGTGTATTGATATGTAAAAAGTAGTATGGGTGGTGTCAGGCTGAAAATGGCGGAATAAACAAGAAGTTAAGTTTGAAAGCTCTCTGGTTTCTTTAATGTTTTGTGTGTTCCTGAGTCAATACATCACATTTGGTGGCAGAGAATGGATTTGGTAAAGAAGGCGAGTACCAGCACTATAATAACGGACCCTGAACTACTGAATTTCCGCTGGTAAAAGAAAACAAGAAACGTAAAGTTACAGAAGACGACAGTCACATGTTTTCAGAAGTTACCGAAGCAGACGATTTCGACAGGACGTCAAAGTCGTGAGTTATTAAAGATAACGATAAAATAATCGGTTATTGAGAGCTGAAAGGAGAGCTGAACTGACATTAACAAATGATTCGAAGTTCATATTAACTGTCATTGATTTAAGTTGTGGCGTGAATTTGAAACAGATTTACCGCGTGATGTAGACTGTACTGTTCGTGTAACATATACTGTAAGCTGAGTAGTGGCAGCTGTAGACCACGTCAGTGACAATAATTTTCACATTAACGAGGAATTGATACCGTATGTTCCTGTCAAGGGCAAGTTGTTCTCTGAGTTGACTTTCGTCGTATATCTTCAGTGAAAGACATTTTTAGGTTGTGTGAGTACCGGCCTTGGGTCGTCGTTCTACTAACTGTTGAACTCTTAAAACGTTGTCAGTCCAATGAGTAAATTCACTAGAACTGTTAACTGTTGATTAGTAGATATGTTTGAAGTTGTAATTGTGAATTTAGACACATTTTTAGATTTTGAATAAGACTAGAACTGCGATCTCCGTTCAAATTACGTTAGACTTGTAAGACCCTCTGCAGTGACTAGTACAAGTTTGTGAAATTGAAAACTCCAGACAAGACTTTCAAGTTGAAGAGTGGTGAAGAAAATTAAAGTTAAAGATTGATGATAGAGAGAAGACTACAGGTTGAAGAATACTGTGAACTGATAAGTTCTGTTAACATTTTATTGTAATCGTATTTGATTTATCATTGCTAATGTTCTAAATAACTGAGTTGAGTGTTATAACAGTGATGATTTGTGTCAGGTTATTATAAATATATTTGTAGTGTGTTTGCTGAAATATGATAATATAATAGTTATATTACTTGTGTACTTTCAGTGATACTTGTGTATACATGTTTTGATTGTTATACTTATTCAGTGGTGATAATTATTTACTGAATTACTTGTATATTTTTAACTGATTTTCAATGCAATTCTTTGCATATTTTTGCAGAGTTGTTTGAGTGAGCTTGTATAGTTTCGTATGTTTGACATGTACTTTCCTCGTGATTTGAGAACTTGAATTGTACTTTTTGTTCATTCATACCGGTTCTGCATATTGTTTACTGGGTTGCTATAAGGTGTAACCTCGTGTTAAAATTGATAACGAACTAAACAATTGTGAACTAGGATTTAGTCTCATTGTGCAAATATTTTGTGAACATACTCTGAGTAGACTGTTACTGTTAGTATTTGCGAATTATGTTAATATTCAGTATTTAGTACTGTGGGTATACTGTATAGATATTTAGTGTAGGTAGCTTGCATATAGTTTTAGCTATTAGTTAGAGTGGACTAGTTGAATTTCCCTTTCACTTTCTGTCTTAGATAATCTCGTAGGTGTACTGACAGCTAAGATGGCAGCACGTCAAGATGATGAGCAGGATGTGGCTGAAGCTTTAATACAACTTGGTGAACAGAATCCTGATCCAGCGGTACAACCACCTGGTGTACAGAATCAATAAGAGTGGCTACTCGAGTGAGAGCGACATGAGCATGATTTGCGTATCAGACAGCTGGAAGAAAGACAAGAACGTCAGCGACACGAATTTCAACTAGAACTTTTAAGATTACAAACAGAACTTCTCAAAGATACAAAGACAGAGTATAAAGGACCAAAAGTGCCTAAGTTTGAAGAAGGTGAGGATATAGACGCATACCTAAGAACTTTTGAAAAGTTAGCTAATGTATATGAGTGGCCAGAAACCACATGGGCTACTCGTCTAGCAGCACTTCTGTCAGGAAAGGCTCTTGATGCATACTCTAAAATTCCTTATCCAAAAAGTGAAGACTATAAGGAAGTTCGTAAAGCGATTTTAAAACGATATGAACTTACTGGTGAGGCATATCATGTGAAATTCAGAACCACCAGAAAGCAGAAAAATGATTTATATGGTGAATGGAGAAATGTAATCTCTGGATACTTGGATCATTGCTTGGAAGCTCAGGGAGTAGATAGTTTTGAGTAAATGAAAGACTGGATCCTGATGGAACAACTGTTGGAAGAGACCCCTCCATATCTGCAAGTTTGGCTTAGAGAAAGGAAGCCTAAAATTACTGATGACTTAGTCGAGATGGCAGATCACTATTTGGAAACCCACAAGAAACAAGAACGCAGCAATTGGCGTTTCAATGATAACAAGAAAACAGACAATCAACAAACAGATAAGTCAACTGAACAAACACAAGCAAAACCAAAGCCCATTCTTACATATTATACTTTTCATAAACCAGGACATAAAACAAATGCCTGTCCTAATAAGAAAAATGGTGCAGAACGTCAGAAAGCGTTGCGTTGTCATCCGCAGAAGTTAGTTCCAAATGCCAAAGAGCATGTAAAGACAAAACAGAGAGGTAACCGACATAGACACCCAGGAGAAGTGGATGGTCAAGCAGTCAGTATATTAAGAGACACTGGATGTGATCAAACGATTGTTCACTCTGCTTTTGTATCCCATGAAGTTTATCTAGTAGATCAGTTTGTAAACATAGAATTTGCTGATGGTAGTTCCAAAGTACTACCAATGGCTGTTGTTAGTGTAAAGAGTGTTTGCTATGATGGAAAAATTTTTGCTGCTGTATTAGAAACTCTGCCTGAAGACATACTACTCAGAAACGACATTGAGGAAACAGATGACTAATGGTGCTCGCGTGCACTACTGGTAACGCGTAGTCAGGCGCGGCGACAAAAAGAAAGATTGCGTGAGAAACTGATTGACGTGCAGAAAACTGGTGTACTGCCCAAGTCAACTAATGTCGAAGTAGTCAAGTTTCCTACACAAAATACACAGAAGAATGATAAAAGTGTGGTACAGCTTGAAGAAGATGTCCTACTTAGTTTATTTGAGGAGAGAAATGAGGAGGCGCAAACAACTGCTGAACCCGTTAATACTGAACATGTACCTGAAGACAGTATGGACAATATGGAAATGACACAGGAGGAAGTGATAGTTGTTTTTAATATAGGTCCGACAGAACTGAAAGAGTTACAGACATCTTGTACTACCTTATCAGGACTGCGTAGACTGGCTGTTGCATCAAAGCAAGCTGCAACTGAAGATACTTGTTTTTATTGGGAACGTTGTCAACAAACCCTTTTACGCTTAGCACATGACTTACCACTTGCAGGTCATTTAGGTGTGGAGAAAACTAAAAGAAGGCTACTTTAACACTACTATTGGCCTGGAATCTTATGGATGTGGCTAATATTGTCGCACATGTAAAGCATGTCAGAAGGCTGCAAATAAAAGGTTGGCGTTAAAGCTAAACTCATCACGATGCCTGTGTTAGAAGATCATTTCCAGCGCATAGCCATAGGCATGATTGGTCCACTACCCCGCACAAAGCGTAGTAATCAGTATGTTTTAACCATATGCGATTACGCGACAAGATACCCTGAGGCTATACCTGTACCTACCTTAGAATCTGAATGTATTGCTGAGGAACTGGTGACTGTGTTTAGTCGAGTTGGAATACCGAAGGAGATATTATTGGATCAAGGTACAAACTTTCTATCACATTTAATGAAAGACTTATGCAAGTTGCTTGATATCAAGAAGATGAGTACAAACCCAGAAAGTTGGGACAGATATATTCCATACTTGTTGTTTGCCTATAGAGAAGTTCCGCAAGCATCTACAGGCTTTGCACCATTTGAACTGCTCTATGGTCGGCAAGTCAGAGGACCCTTAGCAGTTATGAGAGAATCGTGACAGGTGAACTACCACCTGAGAAAATATAGTACAATTTGTAGTTGAAACATGAGATAAGTTAGCAGAAATGTCAGATCTAGCTCAGCAGAACCTCACAAAGGCACAGCAAAAACGGAAAGTGTGGTATGACCGCAGTGCTAGAGATAGAGAATTTATGATTGGTGATAAAGTGCTAATCTTGTTACCATTGTCTACCAACAAACTATAAGCACAATGGCAAGGGCCATACACGATAACCAGAAAAGTGTCTCCAGTAGACTATGAAGTAGAGATGGGCAACAAAAGATGCAAAACGAAAGTGTATCATGTGAACAGGCTACGAAAATGGTTCTCAAGAGAAGGTACAGCCTTCCTAGTCAGAGTAAAAGAAGATAAGAACTTTACAGAAAGTTTACCAATTGAGATGGATGTCTGTCAGTTAATGGCATCAAAAGAAACTTGGAAAGATGTTGAACTGTACAGGGGATTAACATCAGAACAGAAACAAGAAGTAAATACACTGTTAGAGAAATATAGTGATCTTTTTACAGATCGACCTGGTAAAACGTCATTAAAGTGGTCACTACACAAGAACGACCTATATATCAAAGACCGTATAGAATTCCGGAATTCCTGAAAGAAACAGTCAAAAAGAAACTGAGCACAATGTTAGCAGCTGGTATAATAGAAAAATCTTATAGCCCATATGCTGCTCCGCTTGTACTTGTCAAGAAAAAAGATGGGACTTGGAGATTCTGTGTGGACAATGAAGAATTGAACAAAGTGACACAGTTTGATCCTTTTCCTATGCCCCGTACTGACGAAATGATCGAGAAATTAGGAAAGTCGCAATTCATCACCAGTATTGACTTAACAAAAGGGTACTGGCAAATACTGTTGGACACTGATGCACGTATACAAAGTTTGCATTCGTTACTCCATTTGGCCAGTATAGTTTTCATGTGATGCCGTTCGGCATGGCTAGTGCACCAGCAACGTTTGTTCGCCTTATGCAAATGATTCTAGCAGATCAATATTATGCAAATGCATACTTTGATGACATCAACATCGCTGATATGACCTGATCAGATCATATTGAGCATCTGAAACAGCTACTAGCTAAAGTGAAAGAAGCAGGATTGACAATACGTCCCAGTAAATGCAAAGTTGCGTACCCTGAAATTGCAATTCTGGGCAATATTGCTGGAGGTGGAAACGTAAAACCTCAACCAAGTAAGATACAAGCTGTTCAAGACTTTCCGCCACAAAAAACGATGTTCGATCATTCATTGGTCTGGTAGGATACTACAGGCGAATTATACCCGAGTTTTCAGATATTGCGATCCCCTTGAAAGACCTGACAAAGAAAGGAGTACCCACGAGAGTACATTGGACTCCGCAGTGTGAACAGGCCTTCTGCAAACTCAAACGAGCGTTGACGACCTACCCAGTACTACAAAATCAAGAACACCCTATAGCTTATCTAAGTAGAAAGCTGGTTCCAAGAGAAAGAAACTATTCCACTATGGAGCGAGAGTGTTTAGGTATTGTTTGGGCTAAGTATTGCGCCATTATGTGTTTGGTAGGCATGTTCAAACTGACCACCAACCATTACGTTGGTTAGAACTCATGAAAGCTAAGAATCAGAGGTTATTATGATGTCTGATATTACAAGAATACTCTTGATATTGTACATCGTAAAGGCATAGATAACAATAATGCCGATGGTTTATCCTGTGCTTGGGCAAGTTAGGTTGTGCGAAAAGCAAACAAAGATTTGTAGTGTTGTGTTAGTTTTACTATTGTAAGTTAGAAATATTATGTATTCTGTTACGCTATAGCATGATTTGATATTAGCTGTTTACTTTCTGTATTGTACCTTACCATTTTATTCAGAAAACAGTTTCTGACTTTGTAAGGGGGGAGTGTGACGTTTTTTGGAACTACTTTATTGCATGCGTCAGAATACATACTTTTGTAATGGTGTTATATGTCACCTGATCACCCGAGTGTATTGATATGTTAAAAGTAGTGCGGGTGGTGTAACTGAAAATGGCGGAATAAACAAGTTAAGTTTGAAAGCTTTCTCTCTACATATTATTTTTCAATACAATGCACTTTATCTTTTGGGTAAATGGGGTGAGGGATTTATGTTCAACAAATGTTATTTCGGCAAAGCATCAAAATCTAAAAATATACATTCATGTCACTTCCAATTTTACTTTCGAGTTTTGAGAAGACAATAATTAAGACACACTGACCTGATCCCCTGTCCATTTGTCACATATTATGTGATACACTTTTTTACAACTCAACTGAGCTCCAGCTGTAATGACAATATCCCCATTTTTTCTCTTCGTTCCATCAGCTTTCAGCGCATCAATTTCCTTCTGTAGATTGTTACCAGCTGCTAGCAAAATAGCTTTTGAAACAGCACAGTTTAGATCCAAAGTTGCAAATGTCGTATTGACAATAATGTCAGCCTAATGATTCAGAAAATAACAACAGTGACATTTTCTATCATGGAAATTAATTTTCAAATAATGTATACTTTTGTAAACCATGCTTGGTTATACGTCCACTGGAATTTAGATAATACATTTACTAAGATAACAGTTCATGATAAATGTATGATACATAAATGAAAACATTAGTCTACTAATAAAAACAACTATTAATATCCATAGATTACCTTCTGAGCAGAAATGTTTCCTTTGATTAGTTTAATAGTTTTTCCTTCGACCGTTGTGACTTCAAATGCTAATGTTGTGGGAATAAATCCACCACTTGGCACTTTTGTTTTCATACGCGATGTTTCAACTTTGTCCATTTTCGGTATTGTTAATATCCCTGTGTAATGAAAAGGTGTTATATAAAGTCAAAGCAACTTGCAGTTTAGATCTGTCCCCAACAACACATATTGTCTGGAATGCACATATATATTGATTAACTTATAACACATACCTGGAAAAGTGTCAACACCATATGACATACTATCTTTGCCATACATGTCGATCATTGCATCTTTAAATTGATCACATGTGATCACAGAGTTATCCACTAGTCGTATCTCTTTCAGTGAATGATTTTGATTCAACTCACAGAATGAATCTACAGCTTTGACGATTGTATGAACACATAGGTCAACGGGAAAACCGAACACACCAGAACTAATCGCAGGAATGGCAATAGTGGTACATTTGCGACTTGTAGCTTCCTGTAGGCTATTTATAACAGAATTTGTGAGTGATTTCTCTTCTTGGGTTTCATTACTTCCGGATTTCTTATATTTGGATCCACTCCATATTGGCCCAACTGTGTGAATTATTAGTTTGCATGGAAGATTTCCTGCTCCTGTAGAAACAGTTTCTCCTACTTTAAGGTCTCCTCGCCTTTCTATTATTTTATCACATTCATCTTGTATTTCAAGGCCTCCTAAAATGTATAATATTTCATACGAAAAACAATAAAATAACATACAGCAATTGGTATGAACACAGTGATCCATCCAAATACAACAAATGTTACTCAGGAAGATATTCCAAACAAAACAATCTATACAGAATAATCTGATAGACGTGAAGACATATATTAGTATTGATTGCTACCATGCACCATATATATATATATATATATAATTTAAAAGATGTATGATTGGTAAATGGATGCTACCTTTGGGGGGATTCATGTATACATTATGTAGTGGCAGATTGAAATAAAAATCCGAACTCATTCAGGTTAGATTTAGACATACAGTCAAGTGTGTATATAAATTCAGGCCAGTACTTTATCTCAGCTGAATTCATAATACCTAAATATATATATATATATATATATATTTGTTTGTATCTACATAGATTAAATAGCGATACAATATATACCTGCATCAATTATTGCCTTTGCCAGTCCTCCAACGTGTTTCAGGTGGCAATTGGCAGCATTTACGATTACATCCACGTTAAGTACTGTCATATCTCCTAACCCAACCTGTATCTTCATTCCATTAGGCTTAGTGTGTTGACATAACATCCTATATCCAGGTACTAATGACTTTCTGGTAGTTTTACCGGCTACTCTATCTAATTTTCTTGGTGATGGGTCGTTGATTTCGATTTTGCAGGCAAACGCCTTTTCTACAGACTGTATATAGTTTTTTCCTTTCTCTTCTCTGAATAACTTAGACATTCCTGGTTTATCAATGACATATTGGCGGATTTGTATAACATCAAGAAGATTTGTCATTCTTTCCCTGGCGCTTTCAACATCATCTTTGGTTCCTTTAATGTTTATCACTAACGACTCCAGGCATTTGTTTATTTTCAGTGGCTGGTATTTTCCTGTTTCTAATGACACCACGTCATCTTTCTTGTGGTCGAACGCAAACCTGATTCTCCCACGATCAGACTGAATATTATATTCAACAATGGTGTTGACCTTGATGTAGTGATCAACTTCTTTCCTGATACATTTGATAGTGGATTGGAATGTAATAATAGTGATGCACTGACCTTCCAAGTCAGTACGGATTCTACAAACATTTTGCTCTTCAAGTTCTACAACCAGCTTTTCCCAATCCTGTTGATGAATGCCTGGCAATGATTCATCATCCACTGTTATATTTACATCCGTTATGCTGGTGTGAATAATGTTGACTGCCTGTTTTAATTGTGGTTTGTCACGAGCCGAAACTACAATTTCATTGTCTGCAATTAGGTACATTGCCCGTAAGTCCTTGTCATTAAGCATACTATGCAAGATGGCACTTACGTCAGCTGAATTCAGAAACTCCACATAAAACGGGTTAGGAGGTTCGAGCTTTGCAACAGGTAAGGCACCAAGAGTTTCATATAGTAGTATTCTGCAACTCATTATATCATGAGGAAGGCCTATGAAATGTAGTTGGGATTCATCTACTGATAGATGAAAATTTAGTTCTGGAAATTGTTGTGCAACAGTTTCATTGAACTGAACCATTATAAGCTGCTGCATTTGGACTTTCTTAATTTCCCTAGTTTCTGTGATCGTCTCATTAGCTTTACGGAGTTTTTCTTCAATATCTGTGATGACGTTTTTGAACTGTGTTTCGAGGTTGTCCACGTTTTCTAGTGTGCCAGTTATCTTTAATTCCATTGACTCTGAAATATATTCAACACTAGAATCGCCAATGTCTAATTCCTCTGTCTGACCTATTACCTGATTCCAAATATCCTTTGGAATTGATTTTGTTATACATTTGAATTTATTCAGATGCTCGTCTAAGATACTCACGACCTTCTTTGGCCAGTCTTTTATGAATTGGCGTTTATTTTCAAGATGATCTGGTATGTTTGATGATAAACATACCATGTTGTTGTGTCCTCCATATGGCCACTCTATCTTAGTATGTAAGTCATTCAGCTGATTGCGGAGCTCTGTTGCATATTCACCTCTGTTCATGATGTAGACAGTGATATCTTGATTAACGTCTTTTGAGATTGGATTTGGTTGCTGTGGTATTGGCCCATCAGAACTTACCATCACTCCAAGAAATTCGTAGTACGGGTTAACTGTGATTAGTTGTTTGTGTATCGTGTGAGATTTTCTTTGCAATATTTGATCAATTGCTGAAAATACCAAAAGATAGTTCATTAATTCTTGGGAACAAAATTTAATATTATTGAAATAACTAGTTTACAATAGTTATGGGATTATAAGAGCAATTTGAATTTTTGAGCTACTGAACCATTATTACACATAACAATACATGCCTTAACCAACTACCATACCATACTATTGTAGTATAACTTGCGATTAAAATAATTACCTTCACTGTCTTGGAATGATATAATAGCCAGCTTTTTTTCAACATCCAATTTAATTTCTTCGACGTCACCTTCACCATTTCTCTTACTCTCAAAATACAATTCGAGTATGTCTTCAGAAACATTTGGTGGTAGATTACTGGCGATTATAGTACTGGTAACTAGAACAGGCTCCGCTGTCAACACTGACCTCTTCAACGGCCGACTGTTAATTGCAGTGACTGCTTTATTAACATCTGCAATGTAATAATAATGTCTTTAGATATAGAATATAGCCACAATGTATATTATATTCACATTTGGCAGTGAATGGATAATCTTTGTCGTAATACTGACATACCTAGTTGAGGAAACATTATACGTAACACATGATATGCATGATATACGCATTGCATTGTAAAGATTTGTGCAATCCGATTATATGCTCCAATTTTATTTTTTTATTTACCGGTTTATATTTTTTAATGTTATTTTTGTTTATTTGTGAGTATTTTTTTTCACTTGCCGTTATTAGATTGTTATATATGGTATCGCGGTCACCTTAACTACATCTTACTCCATACAAATAGAAATCTTGTGAAATCTGACTGTTTTCGACGAGTTTTGTCGGCCAATCAGAGAGCGCCATACTGACAACAAATTGTACGACTAGCGCCTGCGCGATTTATCGTGTTTCGAGAAGGCAAATTATGGTGATAGCTTGCTAATAACGGCAAGTAACACCAACACATTTTCATAAATAAACAAAAATAACAATAAAAATATATATAAATTAAAAAATATCAAATTAAAAAAGAAAATTGGAGCCTATATCTACATCGATTTTAATCAGATTGGGACTAGTTAGGCATCTCTCTTTTCCTTCCTTTGGAAAAACTGTAGTCTTCAAAGGACTGAAGTTGGAATGAAACAAGCAGTATAATATCCAGTTTTCTAATCACCTGAAATGTTCTGAGAGTATCGCGCCATAACCACGCCTGGTTTTTCACCAAACAACAATACTGGCTCCTCCTCAATACCAGAACGGTTTTCAAGGTATAATACAAGATCTTCTTTCGTCGTTTCATCAGAGAAACCCTTAATAAGAATACATTTGTTATCTGTAACTACTTTTCTTCTCTTCCGGCCCTTTGCTACCGTTAATGAAATTCCCCCAACTGTGTGCATTGGGCGCTTGAGAACTCTTTCAGCTACTGCAAAAATGAAGCACATTTGAATTAGGGTAAACACCACTGTTTGAATACAAGTAAATACGTCAGAGACTACAATTTTGACACGTGACAATGGCAATTAGATTCATTGAACTATCCATGATAAAATTAGCTAATTATTACGTTTAAATAAAAAGGTTGTCACGATCGAGATTGTTCTCACGTCATTACTACTTCGCGCGCACCAATCAGAATCAGATCTATTTTTTTAATACTAGCTTACTAGCTGCATTTTCATAAACAATCGTCAACACGCCCTTTCTGTCTTGAAATTTCTCTAAAATTGGTCCACCACCAGATCTTCTTTTATTTTCGAGATACAATTCCACAGTTTCCATATTCACATCTGATCCAAACCCAGTAACATCTATTATAGCACTGTCTAAGTAGTCTTTGTCTTCTGGTTGGCTGGCCATTCCTGTTGAATCACAAAACAAACACAATATAGTATTGATGATTCAGTTTCACAATCCTAGGAAAACTGAATTGTACAATGGTGATACTAATAGTTGATACAAATCCTGATACAAAAACGCATACCTATATCAACATCACCAACAACAGGTGTGTTTAACACTTGTACTGTAAGTTTGGCTCCTTCTAATGCATGGTTTTGCTTCAAAAAACGATGTGCGTCTGCGTAAGACAGAGATACAAAGGTCAGTACTTTAGTTGATATGCATTGCCATTATCTCCCAATATACTACAACATATTATTTAAGTTCACTATTCGATGTTCCATGTTGTATTTATGCTATTTCTACTTCAATATTCTGTACATTTTGAAACCAATGGTGTTTTTTAAATCCCAAAGCTACTGTCGAACATGTATTGTTAACACTATCATCAGTTTACTGTATTCTCATTTGTGTTCATAAAACTAAAATGAATATACTATTATAATACTTTATGTCTAGTTGTGTATTGAGAAAAACATAATATATTATATGATGTTAATGCCACATGAAACATCTGCAGTATTTCACCCTTACAACCCGCATAGGTTTTCTTTATTTGCACCAGATGCATTGATACTGAGTTTATATTTATCTATATTGTGGAATGAATATGAATAATTGCTAACAATTATAAACTGCAATAAATCACAATTATAAATTTAAATCATATTCGCCGCATAAATTATGTATAATTCACATTGTTTTTATTTAATTTTATTGTAATTCGTAATAAACAGTAACAATATTAAAACTGGGTTCATCATCAATTTTATATTGAACTCATACGAATGAACTTTACCTTTGGACTTTTCAAAAACAATATGTACTGAATCGTCTTTCATTTCGATACTTTTCATTGGCCCTCCACCAGATCTTTTCTTGCTTTCAAAATACAACTCCAGCAAATCTGTGCTGGTTTCCCGTTTGAAACCAGAAACTTTAATAACTGGATCCACTTCAGAATCTGTTGAAATGAATGTATCCAATAACGCATTACAATTACCACTACCCTGCAAAGATTTATGTTTTGCTACTTGACAAATCAGCAATATATTCAGCCTATTACAATTAACACACTAAAAATAGCGAATTCACGTTAGGCCAACGAAATATCTGTTTCTGGTTCAAAGTTTATAAGAAAAAAAACAATGCGGTGATGCAATGTTTTTCTTACTCTTTTTTATTAGGAAACGCATGCGTGAAGAAGATATTGCGCTACCAACGGCAGGCACATCCCATCTCCCTTTTTCTGTGTCCGGAATTGCCGCGCACACAGACCAGAAACAGATCTAACTTTTTTGGCCTAAATAAATTTTATTATCACCTGTAGTGTCTGCCTGACTCTTGATTTCGCTCGGTTTTGGTGGTACTGGTGGTTTTATCCGACCCAATTTAGATTGTATGCTTGGATCTACTCTTGTCAAACTAGTCATTCCCGTATTTGGTGGACTACGTGTTACATTCTGGCATGCTCCCACGCCTGGGTACGGTTGGTTTGTCCGATGATCATAAAATATTTCATTGCTGGGGTGTCTGACATAATGTTGGGGTTGCAAAGGCGGTACGCCTTGCATTTGTTGATAATATGGCCCCCATTCCTGCTGTGGCGGGCGTATCCCATACCCTTGCCAGTTTGAGTACCAATCCTGATACCCTTGCGGATATTGAAAACTCATCGGTCCACGCTGAGACATGTACCAATGGTTCATTCCGGGATTATGCCCCGTCATCTGTCTCGGCTGACCCCACGCTGACTGTTGCATTTCGTGCATGACCTGTGTCTGTGGGCCCTGGACAGAATAGAAACTCGAGCCTTGTGGGTTATCATGTAATGCATGTGGATTTCCGTCTTCTGGTTGCATTTCGTGATGTTGCCCTGCTGCATGTATATTACCACTAGATGGTGCATTTTCATTAACTGATGTCTGAAAAAATGAGAATTTTGAAGTTCAAAGAATTAGGCACTTGTCCCCATGTACCAGCCTTATTTTTATTTCCAAGTGTGTACTTGAACTATTTAGCAAAAGCTATAAAAATTAAATGGAGATTTAATTTTATTAGAAACAAAATAAAATAAAATACCTAATATTAACATGCACTTGACATAAATGAACAAAAATAAATGTGTCTGATATTTACCGTATTTAGAGCCAACTATCTCCACCTAGAGGGAAGGCATGGCTGCTATTTTACGAAATCGGTAATTTAATTTAAAGTAAGTTCTGATACAATTGATTGTATTTATATTTACTTTTACTTTTGAAAGGAGACCGAAATAAAAGAACATGTTTCGCCATCACACAATGTTGAACTTATATCATATTTATTGCTTCCTGTTTTGATACCACAAACATATTTGTTGAGTCAATCAATATCCATAAATCTTGGATCTCTTTAGACTATGTCCCAACAATAAACTGTTTAACTTCTTAACACTTGACCCAGGCATACCTTTCACCAATAACAATGGACAATCATGGCAACCAGACTAAGTCAATATAATGTACCTGTAGTATGTGTGTGTGTGTGTGTGTGTGTGTGTGGGCGTCTTCTGTTCGCCTCGTCTTGTTGACTTACCAGTTGTACCTGTGGTATTGGTACGGGTGTGTGTGGGCGTTTGCTGTTCGCCTCGTCTTGTTGACTCAACAGTTGCACCTGTGGTATTGGTACGGGTGTGTGTGGACGTCTGCTGTTTACCTCTTCCTGTTGACCTGTCAGCTGCGTGGATATAAACTGTTCAATCTCATCAGTACATTGCTGTACAGTCACCTTAATCTCTAGTCCTGTGTCAAACTGTAGAACATGTAAGTTGGGATCACACTGCAGAGCTGTTGAATAAAATAAAATAAATTCTTGATTGAATTGAATTAGATAACCAAATGTGTCCCGCTAGTCATTTTCTATACTTTAGAACTCGGGCAGTAGGTGAAAATCCTCAGCCCCTGGCTGTGTTGTTAGTCCCAGGTCATAATGGCTAGTATTATGTTGGTGAATATATTTCCCCAAATATTAACATCATTTTTAGAACCTATATGAATTGTTTCTTTCAGACTTTGAGGAAAATTTGAAATTCTGATCACACATTGCAAACTGAAATGTACTTTTGAAAAAACAAATACAGCAGTCTCCTTGGGAATTCAATAGGGTCCAAAATAGTAAGCCAAGGAAATGTATTCGCGAAATCATTTGCATAAATCATGGAGAGTTATGGGTAATTTGTAGTATCGTGCTTAATTGGATAAGTAGATTCACAAGATAAGCCTCACACCAGCACACCCTACGGATCTTACGGATATCAAACAAGGTCCTACAGGCACTCGACATTAGAGTCAATTTTATGATTCAATTTAGAATAGTTCAGAGGTTTGTGAAGTGTTGAATAGTTTAACGTCTGTTTTAGCTGGATACAACATATAGTATACTTCGTGGTCAAGCTAGGGTTGGTAATTCCATTGAAACGATGTCAAATATATATAAAAACATTTTAAGATAAATATTTCCCGAATTTGTCAGTTTAGTTTAATGTTCGTGAATTGAGAAATGTTTCTCATTATGTGTTTGAATCCGTCGAAGGTTTGTTTTAATAGTTTCTCTTCGTTGTATATTCCATAAGTCATCTCGTCTCTTTTATGTGAGAGGCAACGCGATTATTCGCGATTTTAAATTTCCGTCCTTATCTGTTAAATGTCATTTATTTTCTGTATTTTGTGATATTCCATATTGTGCATTTTTGTGGTCTAATTTTACACTTTGTAGTTTTAACTTTATTAGGAGAGCACACTCACTTGTGTTTCGTAAATTATCTGGGTATTCACATTCTGTTGTACAGAGTAATAGGGCATTGTTTGTTAATCTTTATATTAGATCTTTTGATGAAATTCTTCGGAAAAAGACATTTAGCTTTATGAGTAGACTGCACCTTTAATCTAACCCCATTGTAACAACAACATTGTACATTTCAATTCATTCCCAGAGTTTAATATGGAAATTATGGGAGAAGAGGATTTTTTGACTTGTATTTTATTGCTATGGATTTTTTATGATCTGAAATAAACACATATTAATAATAAGAAGAAGAAGAATTTTCAACCCGATTTCATGTAGGGTGTCTTTCGAGTTTGAAAATAATCGATATAGTTTCAATATTCTAACCGCCCAACATTAAAGGAATGTGTTACGATTGACAAAATAGTTCTGCACAATTGGGTTAAGAAATGGAAATATTTAAACAGCAAATTCGTCCAATGAAAATGTGACAGATTTCTAAAATTGCAATCCATTTCAATATCTCTCTGAGGACCAAACCGTTGCCCGTCTGCATAATTATCACTAACCTATGGAGTCAATTAGATCCATCGAAGTATAACAAATATATGCATATCACGTACATAGTGCAAACATGGATAAGTTAAGGCAGGCAGCTCCCAGCAATGCTTAGCCGTTCAGTGAAATTATAAACTTAAGCTGATGTGACCATGGCAACATAACTATCCTTATTAATTCCGGTAAACGCTGGATATCAATTTTTAAATTTATGCCCAAACTTTTCGTTGTTATATGTATATGTTACAACAGAAAAAATTACGACGTTCCCTGTTATTTATTATTTTATATAAAGTATTTTTAAAACTGTTGATACAATAGATAATAAAAAATTATTTAAAAAATAAAATAAAAAGCCAGATTTCCATTCCATTCCAAGTGCTAGTACACTTGTTGATGCACTTGTATATGCAATGCGTCATCGCTAATAATGTTACAATGTTGCATTTATACATTGGGTGGTGTTCAGAGTCCAGTCTCCTCGACATATAATGGCGGCGCTTACTTCCTCCTTTTAACAATGTGAAATGCTCAAAATGATGTTTAAGCTGACATTATACGGCTAATTTTGCATTTGTTTAGTTGTTGTTTTTTATAGTGAATTAGAAATCCATCGCTCAAATTCACGCGTCGTTTCACAATTGGCAGCCAGTAAGACGTGTTGTAATTGATTGCACTCCACAACGTATATAAGGAAGTAAAAACACATTGCGAAGTGTAATGAACCTCATAATGAACACCCGACTGAACCCACCTTGGTGTGCAGAAGAAAACTTCACGAGGAATATTTTGGTTCCCTCTGATTGAATATTTCCTGCAACTTCATCAGGAATGCGTGTAACGAACTGTATCCTACTACCGCTGGATATCATAGGATGTTTAAAATGACGAGCAATGGTTTTGTTAGCTGAATCGTCATCGACATCGAGTGGTAAACCAAGCACCAGCACCGACGTCGGGGTTGCAGCCATTTTGGTCAGACGTTTAATAGCTATGACGGTCTATAACAATGCATTTTATACGTAAATCAATAGTTAAGACAATTCGGGGAATTCCGGTGACGTAACGGCAACCATTGGCCAATCACTGGACACCGGGGAGTCCCCAAATTAGTTGACCTTTATCCCGGGACTTGTACATGTATATTCCTTTCTTTTTGTGATTCAAATGATCCAATATTGATATCGCAGAATGTACATGTAGTTTATCTATAATCATATTTGTTTATTTTCAATCTGTATGTCCGAAAATATACGGGGCACACCGGCTGAATTACGGGGTCGACACCATAGCACCCGCAACCCTACCCCGGAGTCAATGTGTTACAGGGACTTAATCATTCTGATATTGCTGTGATCTAGCGCTTATCTAGCGTATTAGTAATAATAATAATAATCTGTATTGAAATCTTGGCAGAGAAAACAATAATAGCATAAATTCATTGCCACAATTCTTTTCTATGTATCTCACATTATCCAGAAGTACCAAGCAACGTGTACATATTCGACGAAATCAGGCGTCAGAGTAGTTAACGTTCATGTTGGGGGCGCAATTGCAACAGATACAAGAGAGACAGTTCTCGACTGCCGGGAACGACTATTTGATAGAGAAAACAAAATACTAGTAGTAGAATTATTAAAAGAAGACGATTGTTTTTATGCAATCTTTGATTCGGAAAACCTTTTGAAACACGTGGCTCGAACTTTACATAGGAATCGAAGGCTCCTATACATGCTAAGATCATGTTTTGGATCATGAGAATGGGTTTCCCTAATCTCCGAAGCATGTCAAATGTTGTTATATTTATATGTGTGTTAGCTAACTACAATATCATTTATATAATACTTGAAGCTATGTTTAAAAACAGTAACTTAATTGCTCTGAGCATATTCCGACACAAAGCATTACTACGTTAATTTCTTATTTAGTTGGAAACAAAATTGTCCTAATACCCCTTTAGTTTTTATATATACGGGGTCAGTCACACAGTAATACGGGGTTAATCACAAAGTAATATGGGGTCAGTCACACAGTAATACGGGGTAAGTCACACAGTAATATGGGGTAAGTCACACAGTAATACGGGGTCAGTCACAAAGTAATATGGGGTTAATCACAAAGTAATACGGGGTCAGTCACACAGTAATATGGGGTTAATCACAAAGTAATATGGGGTCAGTCACAAAGTAATACGGGGTCAGTCACACAGTAATATGGGGTCAGTCACAAAGTAATATGG